TTTTCACAGATGAGGAAACTGAGGAACTGAGATGGTAAGACTCTTACCAAGTCACTCAGCTGGAGTGATGGAACAGGGGTCGGAATCCAGCCCAGCTGGCTCCCAGCCAGGACCGCCTATCACTGCCCTCTGTTGCTTCCCACCCTGCTGAATTGCTCCAGTTCAGTCTTCGTCACGATAATGATTTAAAACGAAAGCCTTCGCCCCAGGTTTGGGTCGGTCTGGGTCGCTTTGTACATTTGGTTTGTGCTCTCCTGACTGCTCTCAGAAGCTGAAGCCGCTGGGCCCGGGCACTTTCTTCTTCCCTCTGGCTGCTGATGTCAGTCAGGCCCACAGTTGGCACAGGAGACAGCGCTGGTCGACTGTCACTGTAGGGCAGCTTTCCTGTGTGCCTGTCCCGTTGAGCAGTTACAGGCCAGGCGCGTAACAGCCGACCTGCCATGACAGCCTCGCTCGGTCATTTCCCGACTAACCTCAGAGGGGCTATTCAGCCCCCCCAGACTCAGTTAGTTCCTTTATCTTTGGAAAGGTGGGCCTGATACTTCTCTATATTTTGTAATGAGTAAGTGAAGTAACATGTGAGAGCACCTAAAATATTGCCTAGCGCAGGGCGTAACTGTGTTTCTCGCCCAAATGAAATTGATAATCCAGTGGGAGACATAGGAATTTACTTTATATCAGTAACTATAGCGTGATGGTCTCTGAGATACAGTGTACTAGACATATTATACGGTATAGAGGTATTAGGGAGCGAAGGTCCCTCCTGACCCTGAAAAGAGGCAGGAGGGTCCATAAAAATGGGATTTCTGGCTGACCCTTGAAGAAAATTTTCAGCTTCTTCAGAGTGTGGGTACTTTCGTAGTGATCTGTTCCCATAGACTCCATGACAGCAGAGAGAAGGATGGTTTTTCCAACATTCCACCCCCACTGTCTAACAGCAGACCTTATATACAATAGAAATTTAACAATTCTGTGGGATGAATAAGTAAGCAACAGAGTATGTAATAACCACATGATACACTGCGTGTTAGGTCAGAAGTGCTTTTAACTCCTTTTCACTGATGAAAAATTTAGACCTAG